CCTATCCACTCTCCCTCTACCCTCCCAGTATAGCCACTCACACCACTGGTCCTGAAGGGATCATCCGCCCTGGATTCACTGTGTTTCCAGTTCCTATCTGTACCAGTGTGCATCCTCTGACAACCATATGGTCAACGCTTATGCCAACCAGTCCAACGCTTACCTGACAGCGCCACCAGGGTTCCTCGAACATATAGTTATACCAGTTGTTAAACTTGGATACTTCTGTGTTAGAAATGATTCAATACAAGATGATGGTTTTAAATTTATTTGTTCATTATTCAAAAATATTTATTAAGTACCTATTACATGTTGGGCACTGTGCCTGGAAAATAATATGGTCTCTATTCTCAACTTTATATTCGGTGATTAAACTATAATCTATTATTATAAATAAAAGCACAAAATCAAATTGAAAAGGCTTACCTATTCACAGTTCTTGAAAATGTCAGTTATTTCTTGGCTTTTCTAAAGTTTTGAAGAAACATGTAATAGAGCCAGTTTGTGCTGATTGCTAAATTTTTAGGAATTTTGTAACCTGATATAGTCTTGTAATTATATTAACTCACATGAGGTGAATTACATTGAAAGACATTAGATTCGAAAGACTCATTACTTCTAAATTACTTCATTACATCCTCCTATTATCATGCCATTGAAAATATTTGGATCAGCATTAATATTATACACTGGTTTACTACTTTGCATCTCTTTCCAAACCCACTCTCAGGGACATCACCGTGGTAATATGGATTCACAAAACTCAGAAAATTGAAAAAAAAAATCACGTTTGTCTCTGTCTAGAAAACCAGTTAATAAACATTGACCAGTACACCTTTAAAATAGAAAATACACTTTTAAGCAGTTGTAGGTGCAACATTCTTGAATGTATTGAAACATTCCTATCTTATAATACAGTCTCCTGAGTATGTCTCCTTTTAAATGTACCTTCCTCATAAATTTAAAACAAAGTATATTGAAAGGAAAATTGGAAAATAAATTCTTCGCCATAAACCAATACTGTATTTTTAAGAAATGCAAGACACTTACGAGAACACGTAACACTGGAGAGACGTAGAAACAACTAAGTGTGCATAGTTCAGAGAGGCTTTAATGACTCTGTCTCGGAATTCCAGTAAATCCACGGCATCATTAAGAACATTACGAACCTAAGCAAGGAAAAATGAAATGATCAACATACAACATTGTTTAAATCAAAATTTTAAATGGTATTTAAATAAGTTAGCAACATCCAGAAAAAACATAAATCCATTCTTAATTAGTCATATAGAAACAGCGCATATGATGGTATATTTGTGCATAATAATCAACCTCTTAGAAATAAGAAAGGGCCTACAGGATTGCTGAACTGCAAGGCAAGCTGCATGATATATCAGTGTAGATTAGTATAAAAACTTCTATAGTCCAAAGAGTATGACAAAGGGGATTTCGAAAGAGATTATGTGATTTCTTTTGCGTCAGATATTAATTTAACTTTAAGCTCTAAACAGCTACAATGACTTAAAAAGTCAAAAGTAGAATAGGCACTATTAGTAAAGAAATCAATTGCAAAGTGCAGAAGCCAAGCTGCACTGAGGGAGTAAAGTAGTTCCATATGCAAAACCACGGACAGAGCATAGGAGTGTCACAAAGCCACACGGCAACCAGCAAGGGAAGTTCGCCTACGATAACTGAAACTGTTCTAAAAGTTCATAGCAGAATAAAGAGTTGCAATTTTTTTTTTACATTTGGCAGTATAGACCAAAAGTCTTGAAGTTGATGGACACTCTACAACAAATTAAGAAAAATGTTGGGCAAATTAAATTTATCAGTTTCCTGGTCCAAACCAGAATAGGTAAGGCAGGTCAATATGGTGAAAATTAGAGGAGGGTAATTTAATATACCAAAGAGTTAATGTTTACGTTCTCAAAACATTGTGTTTCTGAGGCTCAAAATTTTATCATTTGTCTAAATATAGTATTATAATTATAGTATTAATTAAGAATGCAAGCATATGTAAAGAGAGAAATAGGACAAAGTCAAACTTTGGGGCTTTCAAAGTTTTGCAAGATCAATATTTTTTTTTCAGTGTCTTCTTCCTTTTTCCAATTTTTAAACACATGGTTCTAAATTGTTAAATAAATGGTGGTTAGATTATCTAACCACCATTAATTTGATCAATTTCAAAGCACTATGTTCAAATAAATTAAAAATGCACTCTTCAGACTACAAACTGTTATGTTTGAAGCGCCCTGTAAAATGTTTCATACTTACCTCCTAACCAATTTCTATGCATAACAGACACTTCCACTTGGTAGATTGAAAGATGCCCAAGTACACGCCTGGAGACACAGGCATGTAAACACTGAGAGAATGCAATGATGGATAAAAGTGCCTACTAACCAAGATTATTGTAAACATGCCATTGCATTTTTGACCCACAATTTTCTCATCTATAACATGGATAAAAATAATACTTGCCATATACTCAAAGATGTTTGTGAAGACTAAATGGGATAAATTATATGAAAATATTTGTGTTTGGCATACTGTAGACACCAGGTAAGTAGATATCAACTTTTTAATACCTTTAAGTAATTCAAACTCCAAATTTAAGAATATAAAAAATAGGTGTGAAAGTATTCCAGATCAAACCTCAAAGTTAACAGTTTGAAGTCTACTGCTTCAGACCCCATAGAATTTATATACATTCTATTATATAAGCACTATATGTGCAAGATTTTACCAAAATGGGCATGTTATATATGCAATTTTCCCCAACTTGTTTCTTCATTTAACATGTATCTTTATCATCTTTCCATGTGTATTGTGTTCATTTTCATGGTTGCATAATGTTCCACTAATTAATAGATACTTAGGTTGATTCTAGCTTTTCCTATTATGAATATTTTTGCAATAAATGTCTTTCTGGAATTGTACAAGTATTCCTATAGAATATATTTTGAGTTCTG